TCACCTTCTTTACCCTGGCCTTCGCAAGATGGGCATCGCCTTCACCCCCATCAAGCGTATGACAACCGGTTTCATCATCTCGGCCCTCGCCATGGTTGCATCGGCTGTCATGCAACACTTCATTTATGAAAAGAGCCCCTGTGGCAAGTATGCCAATACAGCGGGTTGTGAACCCGCCGACATCAACGTTTGGGCTCAGTGCCTACCTTACATCCTGATCGGTCTCGGCGAGATCTTCGCCAATGTCACATCCTACGAGTATGCCTACTCCAAGGCTCCCGACAACATGAAGTCCCTCGTCATGTCCGTCAACCTCTTCATGTCCGCCTTCGCCTCGGCCATCGGCCAGGCCTTCACTCCTCTCTCCGGCGACCCTCTCCTCGTCTGGAACTACGTCGTTGTTGCCGTCATCGCTTTCGTCGGTGGTGTTGCCTTCTGGTTCAACTTCAAGCATCTCGACGCCGAGGAGGACAAGTGGAACATGCTCAAGGCTTCTGAGTACAAGGGTACCTACCAGCCCAACGCTCTGGAGAACAAGATTTCGGAGGAGCATGAGGAGCCTGCTGCTCCTAGGGACATTGAGAAGATGTGACTACCTCCCACTTGTAAGACTTGCTATAAATTTAGTTGTTGAGATACCACCATAGTCTATGATTAGATTGCCTGTTTGAGCAATGTCAATACATATTACATGACTTTACCGTTTGAGTGTCTTGACGTGAATAAGCTATTTGGCTTTTGAACTGTCTTGGTTGATTGTGTTTGCATTTGAGATGACTTGTACAGGTAGCAGGAATTGATGCTTTGTTCTACCTTGACATGTTAAGCAAACGCTGTCAAAGGTCAATTGACTTTGGCTTGACTAGTCAATTCATGGATGAGACAGGTGGCTAGAAAAACCGTCCGAGACTTCAGCACTGATACAGAGGCCGAAGATCTCTCCATGTTGTCATGTTCTGAGCAGAGTTGGTGCATTGGATGCCGTGGACAGCTAGTGGAGGAAAGAGAACCCAGGATCATGATCTTAAATCCTGAGAAGACTTAGCTGATCTGAGGCTCAACTTAGGATACAGTCTATCAAGTTTATCTTCATACTTAATCCCAAGGGCTGATGTTTTCGCTCTCCGAGGACAGTTACTCAACGGAGCCGATAAGCTCAGCAGATTGCGATAACAGATAAGCGCAGATATGTACATAGCGGGGTTCACTAACGATACCATCACTTCGATACAGGGGCAGAGCTCAAGTGCAGCGTAACATTCATTTTAACACGAGAAACATCGTAACCTTGATAGCATGAAGTCTATCACTGTGTGTGAGGGTGTTACAATTTATACACACAGATCTCACCAGCTGCTTGGTCTCAAAACGTCTCATGTTTCTCTGTTCTCAAGTATTATAATGCTATAAAAAGGCATGGTCTGCAATTTATGATACACTTTAGGTTATTGAACCTTGCGAAGCTATTGAATCGCTGTGCGCTGAGTCATTGTTCCAAGATACGAGGTTTGTTGAAGATGGAGGCAGCCGAAATGTGAAATGGAACGCAGCTTGAAATCCGGAAATAGCACGGAAACACGATTATCCCTGTTTGCCCTCGTAGCCAACACCATCCAGCCTTTCTTCACTGCCAATTCCATACAAAATAGACCATCGAATGTCCCGCTAGACCCCCATGTAATCGTCGCTGTCAAGTGCAGATCCAGCGTTGGCATTCGCGTTCTTGAGAGCCTTCAAAGGACCACGTCCAACCCTCGCATCAAGATCCTTCTTGATCCACGCCCACTTTGGCTTGACTCGTCCATTCGGGAGGAAACAAATCGGCATTCCCTCGAAGAAACCCTCTCCAGCGAGCGGCCCATCGAGGAAAAGGCCGCCAGTTGCGCGACGTCGTGCAGGGACGGACTGCCACATCTTCTGAGCGAGCTTGACGTCAAAGTCGGGAGTGTCCAGTCGGGGAAGGTTGATCTCAAAGTTCATAGCCTGAGTAGAAGTTAGAATTGGGAGGGAGAGAGGGGGAGAAGGGTTCGGACCTCGATTTTGGCGAGTTTCGCATGGCGTTCGACGTGACGCGCGAGGCTGCCGTTGCGGTTGACGAGCACGGCTTTGCAGACAGGGCAGTTCTTGGAGGAGCCGCCGATTGAGTTGATCGATCGGGCTTTGGGAGGTGAGGAAGAGGGGAAGGACTCGGAGACTGGAGATGATGGCTTGGGAGGCGAGGAGGGAAGAGATTTGCGCTTGGGTATGGTGTTGCGAGTCATGATGATGAGGTTTTGTGAAGGTGAAGGTAAAGATGAGGAGTACTGGAGAGGTTTGAAGTGTTTAGAAGAGCTTTGAGGAGGTGGAGGGAAAAGCTCAAAGGTAAAATGAGAAGAGGGTTGACAAGGGATGATGCTTTGGGTACATTTGTGGATGCATACGAAGAAGCGACCGTGCCACTGTTGACAGGTCCTGGGTCAAAATGGCTTGAAAAAGGGTATAATGTTACGGAAATAAGACGCTGTGGGCTCAGCTGCAGCATCAAGATCAGACGAAGTCAACTACCAAGCGCTGCAGGAGCCTTTAGACATTGTAGCACCATTTCACCATGAGATCGCAAGCAATTGAGAACTTCAAAGCGAACGCAAATGTCTTGGAGGCGAAATATCTATTGAACGTATTTGTCTAGTTCTCATACCCATCCCAGGAGTATTCGTCTTCCCATGCCCATGCCATAGCCCATTACAACGCCCTAAGAGACGAAAGAAAACTTAGGNNCGGCGTAGCTTAGCCTAAGTTTAGGGTCCCTTTTGCAGAGTTTATGCTAACGCCTTGTATCAAGGTCTGATGTTTCCCTACTCCCCAAGGCCCCCATCGCATCAACACTCCTGTACTCATCCCCGAGACGGACGCTTGTTGCTGAGCTCGCGATCCAAACCGTCTCCAGCTCTCTTCAGCGCACCGCGCGACATCTCCTCAAGGCGCTCCTTGCATTTATTCTCCAGCTCCGAGAGCACACTGCACGTCTCTCTAAGCATTCGAACGTCGTTTCGCTTGAGACAACCAGCAAGACTCGCAGCGCTCACAGCGCGATGAGCCGCGCTGACATTGTTGCCTGGGGTCATGATTAGGCCATTACAATATGTAGTAGGATAAGTGTACTTACGAATGTCCCTGGCGAGATCGAGTAGGGAATCAGCTGGGCGGTCATTGATCTGCTTCTGCAGCTCCTCGTTCCGATCGGTCAGGTTGAGGATGAGAGCCTGGGTTTCGTCGTCGGCATGGATGTTCGTTTGCCTTTGACCAGCTTTGAGGCCGAGCTCGTAGGCCTGGCTGCTGACATCCTCGAGGAACTTCTGGTGCTCGAATGAAGCAACGAAGCTGAGCTTCCTCAGTTCGGAGGGCCTTTCGTCGGAGGGATTGTTGGAGGGGCTGCTTGAGCTTTGGGATGACATTGTGTTTAGTGTAGTTGTTGAAGCAGTGAAGTAGAGTGAGGTGAATGGAAGCTTAGAAGTGAAGTGTTTGAAGGTGATGAGGTTGAGAGAAGAGGAAAGGAGAAGGAAGCGTGATATAAATAGGAGAAACTCGAAGGCGTTGAGATTGGGTTTATTGCTGGTGAATCAGAAGCGTAGATGGCTTTTTAAACATGGGAGAAGTAGGCGTTCTTTGTGCGTTGATGGGGGATGATGCGGTGTCAATATTTTCGTCTAGACTACTTCTGCCTGCTGGTCTATCTCCATCCTCACACAAACTTATTTCATTCAACGTGCCTTTCATTCTTCCTCCACAAACAACAACCAACCAACGACATACAACAAACACACCATTAGCATCACCCTCCTGCTTGCGCATCACTTCAATGGTCAAACTTCGCCTCAGGAACGCTTCTTCCACGAATGGAAATGATGCGCCGGTGCCAGCAACACCCACCAACACTCAAGTCGACCCTCCGTTTCGACTCGGGGTTCGATTCCATCCCCACGATGGGTCTACGAGAGTCCAAGTGAGTACTTACCCAGCATTCCCCTTTTCACCCGCGACTCTACTCTAACATAACGTGCTCCAGGAGAGAAACTTTGTAAGGCTCTCCAATGCGCTGACCAAGGTCTCAATGTATCCCAGTGACCTTCCATACGAACCCACGACCGGACGTTTGTGCGAAAGTCTCATTGCTGCCTTCAGAGAGGTGGAGCAGGCAATGCCGCTTCACCTTGCAATAAGGCTCAAGCAGGCTGTCATACAGACAATGAAAACCATGCCGAAGATGGGAAGTATCAGCAAAACCAAAGTTAGCAGCATGATGCCATACCAGAGATTGGCCGGAAAGCATGCCATCGAAAAGAAACTTGGCTATCCAGACTGGTTCTTCATGGCAGTCTGGCTTGGTCCCGGACATCCGTTTCTCGGAGATATTCGCAAAGACATGTCAGATGTCTGGGGTGTAGAGTTTCCGACCGACGAGATCATCTATCCCCTGATCATGAACCGCGAAACCGAAGTGAGGCTTTTCAACGGAGAAATTGCCCCTACCCCAACTGAAGACTCCATCGAGGAGCGAGCAAAGACCATCAAGAAGACGATCAACGAGTCATCTGTCAACGGCCTCAGCGCTGCTATCAAAGACCATCTCCCCGATGCCTTCAAAGATTTAGGCGACGCAAGCAAAGTGCATGCATTGGAGACCAGCCTCGCCTCAACAAACCGCGAACTCGAAGATGCAAGAAAGAAAGTCATCAACCTCGAGAAACAACTCACCGAGGCCAAAGCATCACAAGCCCGCTCACAAGAGAAGACCAACAGCGAACTACAGAAGACTAAGAGCGACATGGAAACCCTCCGAAAAGAGATCAGACAGCTCAAAGCCGCACAAGGTTCGACCGATAACGTGAAGAAGGATGTCCAAGCACTTCGGGTGACGCTCACCCAGCGAGTGACCGATACCCAGGCCAAAGTCGAGAAGGACATGAGTACCTTGCGCAGTAAGGTAGCTCAGTCAGCCGAGAAAGCGGAAAAGGCAGTGGAGACTGGGGCGTTGGTTCTGAGCGTCTTGTCGACTCCCGGAGGTCAGAAGCGGAAGATGGATGAGATTTCTTGAGAGAAACACCTGGTCTTAGACTCACTAAACTTAGACTAAGGTATACTTGATTTACCTAGATCATCCTACATGTATACTAAGTTATACTAAACTTACCAAAGTCTTGCCGTCACCTAGCCTAAAGATCTCAAGTTTTGTCCATAAGGATCAACAAACTATACAAAACTCATCATACTCAAATAGTAGCTCAATAAGATCAAAAATATGTATTCATAAATCGTATCCAACACCGTCATATATGGTATATCTTAGACAAATCCGCGTATAATCCTCATACAAGATTCAATCTCAAATGCCAACAAAACAGCCCAAATTCTACTGTGTATCCAAGCCCTAGACCTTGCCCTGCTTATCATCAATGACCAACAATCCAGCATCAATCCCAGCTCTAGCAAACCTATCACCCAACACACCAACCGTTCGCTGAAAGTCCCGCTCAACACCAAAGTCCTCGGCGAGAACAGTGTCAAACAGCGCATGCTCACGACCAACGACGATCAAATCGCCAACGCTCAGAC